ATATTAAGTAGGCAATCGATTTATTTTGATAGTTTTTTCTACAACTTACCCATGTACGGTATACTAATACGCCTAATGTCTAAACTCTCCCAATTTCAGTCTTTTTCGACCTTTTAGAATATTGTGTTAAGTCGTTTATTATCAATTAATTAATCAATTTTGCTATTTTACCAGATAGAATCGACCCTTTTCAGTATGTGGGTCATCATGCAGGACCCACTTGTATAAAAAAATTGACCAAAATTCCACGCACCCCCAATGATGTAAGTGGTTGGTCGATAGGGGTCTGAACCCATACGTACTTCAAGCTTCATCCGTAATTAATACAATGTCAAATGATGGAGAATTTAATTATTAATTTATAGCTTGCCAAGGCTTGATTAACTTGATATCACATTCTCTTGTACAGCGTTACATTAATAAGCATCAAATCAACATGTTGTGACATACTTTTCTCTAAATTGAATTAGTAAATTTTAGACTGGAATTAATGGACACGTGACATACTAATCAACCAAACTTCCAAGATGAAACAAATACTTTAAATTTCTACAATTCTTTAATCTTCATGTTCGATTTACGTAATATAGAGAATAAAGTTACTTGTACAAAATTTTATGTACATAATAGTATCCATACATTCACATGAGTGGAGAGCCCCCAAGCACTACCATAGTATAGAAATTCAGGTCACAAGGCAAGTACGGCGGAATATTTCTCTAACAAAGTATTAAATTTTTAGAACTTTTACGTCGTTTTGTTAAAGGTTCGAAATGACACGATTTATTGATTTCATTGAAAAATTGCACGGGGCAAAATGTAAATATCCACCAAAATATCTTGTCCCATTAGAAGGTAGCAAGACTAGCCAGGCTATTGGTACAACACACTACATCAACCAAGATTTTTACAAGGTAGATTTTTTATATGATAATCAATAGTATTGTTTCTTGGACATATTAAAGCATGACAGAGGAGTTAATAATTCAAGTGGCCACTGAACTTTGCAAGAAGCTTTTACGGGATCATTAAAATTTGTAAAGGTTTCCACGGGTTACTGAACGTTAAAAATCTTTCCATTCATCACTAAACTTTGCTTGAGAAACTTTTTGCAAAGTTCTGTAACCCCGTGATTTTTTTTATTTTTTTTGCAAAATTTAGTGATGAATGGATTGATTTTTAAAGCCCGTGTAAACCTTTTGCACAATTTGGCGATGATTTGGGTGATTTTCTAAGTTCAGTGACCTCGTAATAATTTTTTACAAATTTTAGTGACTATTTGAGTTCTTAACCCCATGATAAAGACTCACAACTTGCAAATATGTTTGGTATAATAGTCGCTAGTGATGGGCAGATCAAAGATTGTGACAGCCCACAACCGGTAAATTTTATAAAGTTGATTTCGTAAATTTATTTTTCATTCTTGTTTTAATTTTAATGGTGTGAATGTATTAACGGTAACAATTAGCAACTATTGATAAGTGAAAGTCGCTAGTGTCAATGTAGAGTAATGCTGCTACTCGTTAGTAGTGATCATTATCCGTTGGAGGTGGGGCAGCGGATCCCCTTATTTATTGTGTAATAGAGTTACGGTAATGATAATTTTACCAAATTTTCCACTCACATAATCATGTGTTAAAAAACCAGCAAGCCCAACTAGGAAAGTATTGTGGATATGTAATTATCACGAGTTGACGTAATTATAAGATGTTTAATTTCATTATTCTTTTAATAAAAATAGTGTTAGATCAAATTGACCAATAACTAAATCAAATGTTTACTTAGTAATTGTAATGAAAAATAGCCACTCAAGCTAGAATTAGAGTCAAATTGTGGGAAAGTTTGAAAGAAGAAAAGGCGTCTAAAAAGTATTCCACAAAATCGGCTCCTCCACCACGACGTGCAAATAGTCTATGAAATGTATTCAAATTGGATTTTGAAAGCACCTCTAAACTTTTAATATTTCATTATTAAAAAAATTTCTTTAATTTGAAATATCAAAAAAATTTCTTTAATTTGAGCTTTAAATTACTCCAAGATAGAACACACACACACACACACACACATATATAGCGTTCCTCCTACACATGGATTTGATAAGTATTTTTGACAAATAATCGTTATTTTTAGATTAAGCAAATCCAACGATCAATGTGTATTTTAATAGGATCATGAGAGATTTAGTTATAATCACTTGAGATCCATGAGTTATTAACCGTTGGATTTGCTTAATTTAAAGATCATGATTATTTGTCAAATTCATGTGTAGGAGGAACGCTTTCCCATATATATATCGAGTTCTAACTATTGATACACATCATCTACGAACTTAATCGCTGATCACATCTCTATCGTTATAATTGCGTACTTTGATTAACTACTTGTGTGCATTCACGCACGTGTATATTTTGATATTTCTTCTTTTTAAATTTCCAACCAATTTTAAACACAATAAAATCCAGATTTGGGTGGAATAAGGGAAAGTTTGACGAAAATGTGATTGGGGGACCAAGAGAAAACACTTGTCAAGTTGTGACTTATGGGATTGAGGATAAAATAAAGGTAACCTCATAATAGTGAATGGACTACGATTCCAGCTTAACATATTAGCACTTAGATATTTTTCTCTTATCATTGCTATTTTGACAATGAAATTTTATGGGTGCACTACAAGTTCATTAGAAATGAATAAGATCGCTAATTTCTTATCTTAATTTCTCTAACTCGTCGAGTTCCCTCAGAGCCATTGAGATGAGTATTCTGTTGTAAATTTTAGGGTCCCACCTTCGTAAGATTAGTCGAAGTGCGCGTAAGTTGGCCCCAAACACCCACGGTCATCAAAAAACAAAAATAAAAAAATAAAAAGTAAAGAATTTCTCCAACTCCAAAGATATTCAAAATAAATCTTAATGTATATAGATAAAATTAGTCAATTTAAACAAATTTGTGTTTCTATTTGTTTCTCCTTGATTTCATTGATCCTTTGATATAGGAGAGTTGTGATTTACGATTTTGAATGTTCATTCTATTGAAAATTGACAGGAGGCAACATCATACACTCTTTGATATTTTTGTTAGCTTTGATTGAAAGTTAAAAGAATTAAGCGGTTTAATTTCTCGTTTCTATTTCACTTTAGAGTTATACCTCTCATAAGAAATAAAAAACAAAAAAAATTGCAAGGAGAAATGGTAACTCAGTTTTCTTCATTCAACCTTCGGTGAATATTTATTCAATCTTACGAAAAGGAATAAAAAGCCTAACTCATTCTTCTTCTAATCATTAAGAGACAAATAAGAATACAAAAAATATATAAATAAATTAACAAAATCGTTCACTTATCATTGACTCTTTCCAAAATCATAAATCCTTTTGGTATTGACTCCGTCGACTTGATTCTTCTACCAGTGTTAAGACCAATTGCCTTTCAATTATCATTTAACCGATGGAGTAAAACTAAGGGAAATACTAAGTGTGCATCACTTTTTGTACACTATTGTTTATAGCCCTCTCATAAGGGTGGGATTCATGATTATTTTAATCATGGGCTCCACTCATTGTATGTGAGAGGGCTGTAAATAAAGCTGTCAAAATTATTGTAATTGTAGCACTTTTCTAAAGCTAATTCTTAGACTAGGCTAACCTAACTCATCTATGAGAAAGCAAAACTCAAGTCTTGAATGGCAACTGCAAATTTCAATCCATGAAGATAATCTTGATTAATAACAAGAAAAACTAAATAAAATCAATTTCACATTTTTTTTTCGGGGGACATTTTTAAGTTACAATTCAATATCCTATATTATTCCGAATTCAGTCACAAGGTCGAGTATACGCCTAAGAAACCCATTTTGTTCCAAATTCACCAAGCACAAGGGTTAACATTCAAAGGGGCCTCACAGGCCCAATATGGTGAGCACTGTTGACGTCATCAACTGTGCTGGACCAGAAGCCCAACTAATCCTGGACTCAATTCAGGGCTCGTTTGGTAGGGATTTTGAGAATTGATTTTTTGACCATTAGAAGAAAAGTGGGGTCCACATGTGAGAGAAGAAGTAAAAAATTAAGGCTTGAATAGTAAAATAACGGTCAAAAAATCAATTTTTTGGGGCAAAAAATCCCTACCAAACGGGGCCTCAATCTAAGAAATTAAGGGTAGTTTGGTACTGCTTAATTAGTCATATAAGCTGGTCAAACATAATTATTTATACATTTCATAAAATCCACAACTTACTTATTCAGTTATTGTTCACACCATTTTGTAAGTCTCACTACTTATGAGCAATACCAAACATTACTAAGTGCCGTGGCAAATGGACACACAGGAGAGGGAAGGAAAACCTAAAAATCACAACGCTTTCGGACTTTTGGGGCTATAAATGTCAGACGTACAAGGGCTAAGGAATGAAATTAAATTAGTTAAATGTAGTTTTTTTTTTCTCAAAATAAAATGATTTATTTGTAGATGAGTAATTCGAAAATATATAAGCTAATGAATACAAAACATTAAGGCCCTGTTTGATAGAGCAACTTTTCTGTGGAAAATGGATTTTCCACCATTTTTTGGGTGTTTGATTGCACAAATTTCTAGGTAATTCATTTTCCACCTCATCCCAACACGTGACTGGTTTTCTTTGATTTGGTGGAATTTCATTTCTCATGGTTTTAGTGAGAATTCATTTTTCAGGTTTTTTTTTTTGACAATGAAAATAAATTCTATTCATAATTGTAAAAAAATCTATCTATTTAATTGACAATTTTTATGTAAAATAAAGTTAAACGAACACGAAAAAATTCAAAATTTCAACATTTTTAAAGTAAAAAATTATACCAATCAAACATATTTAATTGACAATTATCAAAAAAATAAATTATAAACAATTCAATTACCTAAAATTCGTTTTCATTCCATTCAAATTCCGTTATTGTAATCAAAGGGGCCTAATTGTCTATTGATCCTTAAATTTATCACATTGTGCAGTATTCTCTCTTCCTCTGACACAGAATAACTTTTTGTATTCCAATTTGGTCATTCCCGCTTTCGAACTTTGCTCCGTCCCTCCAATTTTTATTTTCATGCCCTAATTTCAAACCCCAATTCCGTGGACAAAAATTCTTAACTATGGCGGATCCAGACTACTTAGCGTACCTATCATTCCTTACGGAGAGGAGAATTAGCCCATCAGGACTCAGTGAATACTTGCACGCAGAAGACGGTGATGATGAAATGGACATCGATTTCATCGGAATGCCGCCAAGTGATGGTCCTAATTCTGCTTCCGTTGCGAGGTCGTCTCAAGAGTCTGTAGATATTGACGATTCGGCTGTTGAGAGCGACAACGTCGTAGTGGTGGAGGACGAGGACGAGGACGAGGATGGAAGTAATGAGAGAAGGAACTATAATAATAGTGAAGGTGGTGAAATGTCATCGTCCAAGGATAATAAAGACGAAGAAGAAAAGGTAGACGCGGAAGAGGAATTGAACAGAGATGAAATTGACGGCTTAATTTGCTCCATTTGCTTCGAGGCTTGGTCATCTGGCGGTGACCATCGGGTCTGGTTAGTATTTTATGTTACTGTACTGTACTATACTCTTCTCTTTTCTCGTTTAATATATAGTTGCTTAATTCATTTTTACTGTCTGTTTTTAATTTTAGTTGTCTTCCATGTGGGCATATCTATGGTTTGGCTTGCATTAAGAAATGGTTGCAGGGTCGAGGCTCAGGCAAGGTAAGTTATATTTAATCGTCCACTTTTAGTTCTTGTTTTTTTCCTTTAACTCAAAATGGTTCCCAGTTTCCTCTGTTTTCAGTGTCCACAATGCAAAAAGAAATGCTCGATGAAAAGTATTCGAGTACTTTATGCATCTCGGATCGTTGCTCTTGATGTGAAGTTACAAAAGGTGATACTTTGATTCAGGTTTTTGCTAGAGAAAGTCTTTATTTTTATTTTTAAATTTAATTTTCTTAGTTTATTTTGTTCTGCAGAAAGTTCGGTCTCTTGAAGCTAAATGTTCTTCTTTTAAGGAAAAGGTAAAAAAAAAAAAAAAAGCTTTTGTGGATTTTATATGTACTTTCTATGCAAGGAGCATTGAAATAAGGCTTGCATTTGACTCATTGTAACGATTGCTTACCAAGACGAATGCCCCAAAGTTTTTTCTGCTGTTGATTGCGGAATGTTAATATACTTGATCATTAGCTATTGTTGCTCAGATCTTGGCTTATGGGATTGGGGAATATTTTACTTGTATCTGACGCCAATATACACGTGAAGCTTCTATCAAGTGGAGTCCATTTCTAGCATTTAAGTGACAACTACTAATAATTAGATGATCTTTACTTAAACTTTATCTAATCTTCTTCTGTTGTATGTATTTGTCGGAAGATTGTCTGGCTAGTACTTGTGCTTTTGTGACAATTTTTATCATTCCTTGTCTCATTTATGTTAGACTCGTTGTTTGTTAACTCTTAATGTGAACTTTTAATTTCTTATCAGGAGGGTTATATAAAATCCTTCCCTTTGTTCTAACACATCTGACCATGAATTGTAATTTGTTGTCCTGGGTCTCTTTTATTGCCCTGCCACTTTCAAATTTGATGATCAGTTTTGCTAATTTCCATCATTTTAATTTCGATGGATGCATCCTTGATCTGCTTTTAAATGGAACCTTATCGTATTTATGAACACCAGTTCTAAATGTTTTCTTATTATCAACATGAGGTGCTCGATGGCTTTTGACTTCAACTTTTTCAGCCCTGGCTATGCTATGGTGATCTGTTGCCATAATCATACTGAGATATGGACTTGAAATCATAACTGAAACATTTGAGCGAATTGGATTTTCCCTCCTTGAAAGTTTTGTTGTCATTATTTTTACCCCCGAGTGTCTATGTTGCTTTCTGTTTATTTCCTTGATGAATTATGCTTGCAGAGCGATGACTTGTCTGCAAAGAGAGTTGAATGGCGGAAGAAAGAAGCTGATTTGTGCATGGAAGTGCACTATCTCAAAGAGGCATGTGCATTTTATTTTTGTTAACTTTTAATCAATTACCTGGTGATCCTACTTTTTTTGGGGTGGAGGGTGGGTTCGGGTGTTAAATTTTTTTTTCTAATTTTCATGTCCTTGAGCTTCTTTCCTTGTGGCTTCTTATGTCATGCATATATAGCACTGTCAATATATTTGCTACAGCTTAGTGTCACTATTGTGGGGCAGGACGCTTAATTTATGGTTGATATTGAAAATATCCTGTTGATCCTGTTAGATGGGCTGTCTTTGATCATTTTGTATGTTTAAGATTTTCATTTACTAAACATTAATCATCAAGCATTATTTATGCCGTGTAATAATTTAAACTTGAGCCCATGAGGTAGATGGTACCTGTGCAATTATCATGTGCATTTGCATAGTTGAATTCATAATTCATAGACCAGGCTGTTGTTCGGACTCTTTTGCTTCTACTGTTATTTTCATTTATCAGTTTGTTATTTTTTTCTTAACCAATACTTCTTGTTATTAGAGAAATTCAACGAGATATTAGGCCTTGGCATACTAAGAACTCATCATCGAGTAGTATAACTATCTTAAATACAAATTTTTGGTTTGAGAGAATTTTTTATTACCAATAGCTTTACATAGTCATTATTGTTATCTTTCACATTTGACATTCCGGATCTTTGAAAAACTCTGGTCTAGCAGAGGACACGCCACTTGGAGGGTCTACTAGAAAGTGCACAATCCAGGCCATTAGGATCATCCATGGCTAGGTGGGGTTGTCGAGGAGAAGCTGGTCTGGGTAATCATTTGTCTAAAAAACTTAAATTGTTGGATGGTATATTTTAGTCCCGTCTCCTTTCGTGGAATTTTAAACTTCGTGTTTTTTGTAGGAGACGATGTTGAAAAAGAGTTTCACCAACAAGGATCTTCAATTAGTTTTATGTTGCAGGTTTGAATTCTTCAGAGCTCTTAAATTATTATAATTTGTTAGAAATGTAGCCTGTATTTTGCGCTGTCTGAATTTTTTTTATAACTGATCAGGGTTTAGAAGAGAGTGTGTGTGTGTGTATTTAGCTTATGGTAAGCAACATTGACATGACATATCAAATAATTGGTGGATTATTTAATTTCTGTCCTCATCATGAACTTATCCACCAATTAATTGATGTGCGAAGCAACTGTGATCACTGATCAGTGGATCATTTCATTCTATATATGTCTACAGAGAGAGAGAGAGAGATTACTTAGTAAAATCTGTACATCTTTTTGAATGAATTAAAGTACTATTTGTTATAGTCCTCTTACAGTTATGTATCGTTATCCAGCAGAAAGAAAAAGAACATTTCAACATTTGAAAAAGGTAAAACCAAATTAAGTGGTGATTTCCAATAATTTAAGGCTCTTATCTTAGAAAACATTAGGCACAAAGGATTTCCTTTTCAAATTGACAGGATGGTGCCTGGGAGGAGTTTAGGTTGAATGTTTTAGTGTCTTATTCTTAACATTGCTGATATCAAGTCAATCATACTGGATTGGTTGTCTTTATATCGTTTGTGTTATTGTGTTAAAGACAATCATTTCTAGTTCTCCTCTCGTTATATATTTTTTTGGCATGACTTAAGAGTTTATTTAATGGAAGCATTATTTAGTAGGCTAGTTAAGTTTTTAAGTGCATGCCTGTAATTTTTTGAAGAAAGACATACAAGTAGATGGTGCCCGTATCTTCGATGTTGATACATCCAGTCAGATTTTGATAATTGCTCGAAGGCTATCAGGAATGGGGACAATGAATGTGCTTACTAAGGTAAAAGTTATTTCGGCCTTCTGAAACTTGATTCAATAGCCTCTAGTATGCTTGGTTATTGATGAATTTCCCAAGCCTAAAATATGATGTGCATTTATCAATTGCCTATATTTGTTATATAAACATCTATTTAACTTCTTGTACTTGTGCGTTTTACAGATGAGCTTGATACCTTCGCATGAAAAAGAGGACATTCATCTCCCTGTGGGATTTAAAGCTGTCAAGGACCTACGGGTTTCTCCTCATGCTAGAATTGTGCTATTGGCTTCCTTAGGGAAGAAATTATCAGTGGTTAGGTGGAGCTCTCACTTTCTCCTCAAACACCAGAAAAGGGTGACTCTTCCAGCATTTATTATGTGCTTTTCTCACTGAAGTATATGACTCATTGTTCTTTGGTTTCAGCACACAAAGCAATAATACTGTTCTTACTTATGATTTACAGGTAATAATTCTTTGCCTTGTATCTTTTTTATTGTTTTTCAGTCTGATTACATACGTTTGAATGTTAGACAGAAGCTCTTACATGTCTTGTATCTACTACTTCAATTCTATGTTGAATGATGAATGAGTTCTATTAAGGATTTTAAATTCTATGTCAGAATTGTTGATGTAAAGATGAGGAAATAAGAAATTGACATAAAGATATGCCCAGAATATTATATTATGTGAATGAGTGGTTGAAAATGAATATATAGAAAACAAGTTTTTTGAAATAAAGGATGTCAAACAACGGCCTAGTTTGGTCTGATCCAAAAAACCAGGCTGGTGGTTTGGTTTTCTGAGCTAGGATTTTAGGAACTTTCAACAATTGGACATCCGTGACGGCCCTAGATTGAACTCAGTCACCCTCAATGTTAAATGGACTGGTTCAAGGCCATAATATGGCTGGTCTGGTTAGGATTTAACTGGTTCAAGGCCATAATATGGCTGGTCTGGTTAATCCTAACCAAACCAGCCCGATTGCCATCCTCTTAGTGTATGCTGTGGTCGGGGAAACTATTGTAGGACATAAATGTGCATCATGAGAAGATATGGTCAATTAGGTTTGATTGAAAAATCAACTGAAGTAAAAAGGCTTGAAGGGAGTTGGGGTTGGACAGCAAGCACCTGTGCTTTATGATGAAGAATGTGGAGGAATAATTGCAGTGTTTTCTTAGGCCTGTGAATGCACACTGATGGAGAACTTTTCCATGTATGCGGTGGCTGATGGGCAAAAGTTAAAGAATAGTAGATAAGAACTGGAACTTTTCGGAGTTTCATTTGAAACTGAAATTTTACGTTGCAGATCTTAGTTGGGACTGTTTGACATTTTATACAATTGAGGAGAAACATTTGGGGAGGTAGAGCAATATCATTTGGAGCACATTAAAACCTACCTTGTTGTGTGGTATTTTACTTTATGGATATAGATTAAACTGATTTTTATTTCCTTGTGTTTTGTTATTAATGGATTGTGTTATCATCGATTTAGACCTATTTCTGATTTTTTACCGTCAAGCAGGAGAAAAGAAGTAAACTAAATAGAAGAATTGTTGATCAGAATCTTGTAAACTTTAATTAGTATCCTTTTTTTTTTTTTTTTGGTGGGTGACGACACTATTACAAATAAGAAGTGGCATCTTATTAGTAGAACAGGATACTAATTGACGTTGGATTTTCAGGCGGCTGCATGGTCATGTTCCTGGGATCTCAGCAACTCACATTATATCTATGCAGGATTACAGGTTTGAATGATGTGCTTGTTTCCCTTGATTTGCATTGTTGCTGTTTTATTTGTACCTTATATACTCTAGTGTTCAAAATTTTACAGAATGGCATGGTAGTGCAGTTTGACATGCGTCAAACCATGAGGCCTGTGGAATCCATTACTGGGTTGACGGACAGCCCAATTCATACTGTGCACTCTCTTTCTGCAGATTCAACTGTCAGCTGTGGTGTTAAAGGTGTCCTTACTGCCTCGTCAGTTGGTTTATGTCATTGGGATTTTGGTAGAAGTGGAGGAAGGTAGTTTTTGTTTTCTTTAAATCATGCTGTACACTGTTCGTTTGGTCCTGTAGATTTGAATCCTAAGAGTTAAAGACATTCTTGGATTGGAAGGGATTGAAGAGAACAATTTTTTGATAGTCCTCTCTTCCTTTCCTTTTTTTAATCTATATGAGATCAAAGTGATTGCAATCTAGTATTTCCAAGGAGTTTTGATGATTTTTTCGTTAGAGCTTATCTTTGATTTTCTGTTGGGAAGTAGAGAAAGCGCTGTTTTCTCAGTTAGTAGTTCGAAAGAATTCTATTTTCTCTATAAGTTGTTTTAGAAGGAATTGTTGTTTGTTTGACATAGGGCAGAAGTGTTGCTTGAAATCTAGAACCTTGGCAAGCACACACCCTGAACCTCTTTTATCTTGTTTTTCACCAATGTTATCTTTGGGCAGATTGATTAGGGCTGAAGTCATTTTCTTTAAGTACATGACAGGGGCACATTTTAATTCTTCCTTCTATTTGGATGTATAGATAATAAAAGAAAACTATACAGTGTTTTCTTCCTTTCCTTCATTTTGGAGAATATTTTTTCAAGTTTTGTTTTTGTTTGCGCATGCCTAGGAAATTGCATTATTAATATCTTTCAGCCATTCTTTCTTTCTTTCTATTTGCTTTGTACAATTATAAAAAGGAGGAAAAGGTACAAAAAGAAGGAACATGATAGAACAACTGTGTATATTGAGATGGGGCTCTTTTGTTTCCCAGAAGCTATTCATTCCTTAAATGCATCTGGTGTTAAAGGGAATATGGCATTGCTAAAGGAGTTACTTTAATACACAACATCGAATCTTGTTGAAGTTTCTGCTCTTTAAAAAATTTGTTGTCCCATTTTAGTTTCAATATAATACAGCTTGAATAATTTGAGTTAAATGGGGTAATTGAACTTTCTGCATATTCTGAGCAGCCTTCGAGAACCTTTATGAGTTGAATGATTGGAGTGAGGCATTGTGTGTATGGCAATGAAAGGGTTCTTAAGTTTTATTTGTTTATTTCCTGCCTGTCCTGTTTTCATCCTAGTCACCAGTCTCCTTATTGCGACATATCAGTACAAAGATATCTGTGTGCAAGATGGCGTTTTTGCAATGTTTGAAAAAGTTCTGCTCTCTTTTATTGATTCCTCCTAGACTGGGTGCTTTGGAGCACACAGACTAGCACAAGTATCACAGATTTTATTTAAGGATAGGATTCCTATACATTTTCATTTTAATCTTTATCGCAGGCCATATTTAATTCCAGAATCAGAGAATCAAGGAGTTTGCATATCTCTTGCTTATGGTCCCTCTAGAGATGACATTGTTGCTTCATTTCGTCCTAAAATTGAGTTTTCTGGTGATTTGACTATTTCTCAACCTACACTTAGTGCTTCTACTTCTATTTCTGGGGAAGGGGTACGGGGATCTCATGTCCTTTACAAGAGAGTGGGTGGCAGATATGAAAAATTAGGAGCGACTTGTGCCAATGTGAGTGGTATCCGACTGCCGAAATCTGCAATCGTAGATGGAGTGTCTCAGAACCCTTTGTTTGCTTCTGCGGATGAAGTAACAAGTGAATTGGTGTTGCAAGATTTACCGTCTTTGACAGTTGTTCAGCATCTTCGATCTCGAAAATATCCTATTCGGGACATGAAATATGCAAGTATTTTAAACTCAGGACTACTTAGCTGCTTGGCCGAGGATTCATTGCAACTATTCTCAACTAAACTCCTCTGAGGTAATATTGCCAGAGCTCTTATCATGTGCATTTTAGTACTATTATGCTGCATGCATTGCTTATTATTCTTAAGTAAAATTATTTTGCTCGGTTTTTAGAACTCTGTCTCTCTATATATATATATATTTACGGAAATGATCCCCTAAGAACCAATGTTTAGCTTATGTTAAGTACCGATGACATAGCACACCATTTAATTGGTGAATTATTAAATTCATGTGATCTATTATTAACTTATTCACCAATTAAATGTTGTGTCGCTCTTCAGTTATTGGTGGCCTGTTTATTCTCTTTCTGCAGCTGGGTGATTTTGATTGGTTTCTTCCTTTATCATTCGAGGCTTTACCGTGGAAATTTCATCGATGAAGTTTCAGTTGAAGACCCACCCACATACATTCCCCAAAAGTTGCGTACAGGTTATCTGATCATCCACTCCCAAAAGTTAATTAGAAAGATCCTGCCAACCACCTCTGTTTTCCCTAGGTCTTCAAGTCTCATAGTCAGACCGCTCATTGCAATATGATATCAAGATTCAGTACTGAGANCAACCACCTCTGTTTTCCCTAGGTCTTCAAGTCTCATAGTCAGACCGCTCATTGCAATATGATATCAAGATTCAGTACTGAGAGACGTGTCTGCTTAGTATATTGTTTTTGTGTAATTATTTCTCTGGAAATTGACAGGATCCTTGTTTATTAGAAATTACACATCGGTTTTACGTGATCATATTATTGTATAATAGATTTCCATTAACCCTTTTGATCCTATCCTACCAAGATTTTTGTATGCTCTACTAGGCACCAAGTCCTATATCCCATAAATACTTGAGATCCAACATTATGTGTACCTGTTGAATTCTGCCAAGGAGGATTGAACAAATGTTATTGAAAATAACAGACATGAGACTTCTATTCTGCTAATCTACTTGCCTACTCTATGAGCAAAAGACTCAAGTGGAGTCTTGTAAGCAAATAATGTTGAGCTACTTGAGATGGATTTTTGTAAACGTAGAGGGGGAAATCGTAATGTTCAATTAAACCTGAGAAAATATACTGCCTTTTTATCTTGTTATATTGTTTGTTTGCAGGTTCAGGTGGGCATCTAAACAAGTTATTGAGTTACATCTGTACATTAATTTTTTTTGGCGGGCGGTGGACACTGCAACTCAATTTCGCAGCTGTACATATCAAGCTTGCTTGTAGCAATTAGTAAGATGTTTAAGATTTTTTTTATTTTTTTTAATCTTAATATGTTATTCATGCCAAAAATTTCATTTATTGACGGAGAGTGTTACTAGTTGATAAGAGACATCTCTATTATTGAGTCAAAATTTGAAAGCAAAAGGTTTAAAGGTGATATTTTATTGTTTGAATCAGTTATGTTGGCTGGCACAGATTGATGTTTGCTTCTTTTGCAAACATTAATATTGTCATTATGTAGTCTCACATGGTAATTAAAAAAAAAAAACGGAAGAAAAAACTCTTTTCTTTTCTTTTTTTTTTTTTTTGGGTTATGTAAGATAATATAAAATTGAGTGGTAGAAATGAATCCTGGTGCTTCATAATCCTCCCATATGCCTGCTGTGTATATCTTATGTTTGGTCATTTCCCTTCTGCTTCGTGTTCAAATAATATTAGATGTTAGACCCTATTCTCCTGCATTATAAAAACCTTTGCAAAATTATTTGGCCAATTTTTTCTTTTTAGAATTATTTTAGTAAAAGAGAAAAAAAAGGAAGACGAAATACCGCATCAAATTTTGGAGCCATCTCCAGTTCTCTAATGAATGAACGGACCACTCTTCCTTCTAGTCCCCTTTCCTCCCTCAACTAAAAATATTGATAGTTGGTATGGTGCGGCGAATAGTATAGCACAAAAGGTTTGTGTATTGCACTGTTTATTTAATTTTTCTTTACAAAATTCTTTAATTTTTAAGTAGAATTGGATTGGTTGCATCATTAAAGTTTTTTGAACAATTATTTGATGCAACTTTTGCTAATAAAATTTTTATTTTCCCCCTTAAAGAACATAAAAACAGATGGTAGACCACATTAGAATTTGGAGTCATCTTGAGAAGGCCCAACTTGTGGGTCTCCCTGCAATGGATTGCATGATGTACAAGTTAATACAGATTTAAGTGCAACAACTCAATCATGACATGAAATGGCATCAATCGAGAGATTGTGTTATGGTACATCCATATTAAATGCTTCTTAAATCAACTAAAAATAGCCACACGAGTCATTTCATAACAATTTCCAATAAATACTAGGATTCTGAATGTTCAATGGACGACTTGGGGTTTCCTGTTTTCCATGTTATATGGATCTACAAATAATTTACAAATTTTAAAATATGCAGGCATCCACACATTAAGGAAGAATGTGAGTGAAAATTGATTTCGATATTTTGGGATGAAAATTGGTCACAACACGAAGTACTTACAAGTGACCGCCTCAGTTGTCGATAAGGCTAAATTTGTAAACTCTACATATTGCTATATATAATTCATGGACTTGGGTCATTTGCGGTAATATTTTATGTTTATTGGGCTCAATTCATTTTTTTTTTTTTGATCGTTAAGTTATAGAAAGTGGAAATTTTGCCACATACATTATTTTTTATTTAAATCCACATTTTACTTTTAGATATTACTTATTCCAAAAATATTGCAATTTTTATAGTAAAAATTATAATTGAAAAAAATATCTCTCATCAATTAATATGCTCATTGACCTTAATCAATCCATCAAACACATACCAAATCATCCGCTTAACTTGCCAAAAGAAAATTCCAATCACAGTCTTTCTATTTACTAAAAAAAATAATCCTAAAATCACCCATCATCTTGAATCATCATAGGAATCTATCAAATTTGTAGTTTTATTCATATCAAAATCTTATTTTTTGTATGAAATCGTGCCAAAGAAATCGACATCCATACTTCAATCAAACCGATTCTAGATTTTTATCTCGTTCATGTAATTCATAATAGAGGTGGAGACACTTGCATCCAACTGGTATAAGTAGTCCAAAAATTCTTGATTTGCATGAAGATATTCACTAGTCCATTACTGCAACAAGACAAGGTAGAAGATAAGGAAAATTGCAGCCGAAATTCCAAACCTTTCGTTTATTAGCAGACTTTGCCCAAACCTTTAGTTTGTGCCATCCACGATACCAAACCTTTCAAAAACTTGCAGTGGAAGTCCAAATGGATGGAAACTGTTAATTTGACTGTTAGTTGACCAAAGATTTAACATTGACCATTATTTTGACTAATTTTAAAAGGATAAAATGGTAACTTTACATTTTTCAACCAAAAAAATAATTACAATATATCAATAATTAAATCAAAATACAAAAACACTATTCATTTTCTTCTCCATTCACCCCCTACGCACCCACCCACCCACCCACGCAC